TCTGGTTTAAGTTGAATTTTGTGCAGAGATTTAAAAGCTCGTGTGTGTGCGAGTTCTCGTCTGAGCTGCCTCCTGGTGTTATCACTGCAACAACATTATTTGCTATATTCCTCCATTTTAGGTGCCTTAATTAAGTTGAAATCCCCCAGGAGCAAGATGTTGGGGGCAGGAGCTGGAAGGTTTTCCAGACAGTGGTCAATTTTCAATAGCTGTTCCTGGAATTGTTGGGACGTTGTATCCGGAGGCTTGTAGACTACCACAATGACTAGATTTTGGTCTCGACCTTTATTGCTAAAACTTCAACTACATAATTTGAGGCATTTAGAAGTTTTGTGCAAATAAGTGACTGCGATATACAGGCCAACCCCCCCCCCCCTTTTTGCCTGTTCACTCTGTCGCATCTGTATAGGTTGTAACCTGGGATTCATATTTCGTTGTCTAAGTGATCCTTTATGTGGGTCTCTGTGAAAGCCGCGAACATTGCATTTGCCTCTGCAAGCAGTCCACGGATGAAAGGTATTTTGTTGTTCGTTGCTGGCAGAGGTATGATAAAGCTCATGGTTCAGAGAGAGTGACCTAGTAGCGACCAGTGAAGAGGCGGGGCCAGGAGCTAGGACTCGACCCCTGCATCCTCAACTAGGTGAGTACAACTAGGTGAGTACACACGCACACACCACACACACACACACACACACACACAACATACAACACACAACAACGACACACACCACACACACACACACATACATACACACACGCACACACACACACACACACACACACACACACACACACACACACACACACACACACACACACACCACACACACACACCTACACACACACACCTACACACACACACCTACACACACACACACTACACACACACCTACACACACACCTACACACACACACCTACACACACACACCTACACCACACACTACACACACACCTACACACACACCTACACACACACACCTACACACACAACCTACACACACACACCTACACACACACCTACACACACACCTACACACACAACAGGCCTAGTGTCAAATCGAAATGTGCCTAGGACAAAATGGTAACTAACTAACACACACAACAACACATTCCACATCACACAGACACACACACGTACACACTTACACACACACATCACCAACACACGAGCCCACAATACACAACACAACACTACAACACACAACATAAACACACACTATAACAATATATAAATATATATATATATATATAAATAAACATTGTCTCTACGTCCACAGCAGGACTCGAACCTCTAACGTCTGTACCCAGAGTCCACAGTAACTTTACCACGGAGCGTTTGCGAATTTATATTATATAATATATATATATATATAATATATGATGTATATGAGATATAATAAAAATATTATATCAGAATTTATAATAATTATTTTATGTAAATATATATATATATATATATATATATATATATATATATATATATATATATATATATATATATATATATATATATATATATATATAAAATATTCACAAACAGATGGAGAATTTTCCATTAAAAATAAGACTGTAGGTCTTACTACCTGACAGGTCTCTGGCGGTGTTCGAATACGTTCATTCAGGATATACACAACCAGAGTTGTATTTCTCTCAGGGTATATTTGCGCATAACTTTAATCTTTATTTTATCGGATTAAAATATTCTTGTCTGGTGATGAAACAGTCACTTGCATCCTTAATGACACCCTCGTGTAGTCGATAGGCTTTCAACCCCACTAACCAGCTGTTCACACGCTTTTTCTAGGTTTTTTCAAATATATATATATATATATATATATATATATATATATATATATATATATATATATATATATATATATATATATATATATATATATATATATATTTTAAATTAACTTCATTACGTATAAATGGATACCTTTTGTTTTTCCCCAACACTTAAATACATCCAGCAGGTACTGGAGTGACTTACACATGACCCGATGTTTTCTTATATAGGATATGACATTCTGATATAAAGGTCCTTCAGAAGGGGTGCCTTGATGCTGGTGAAGAGTTCTTGATCCAGGAAACTGGAGCTACCCTTCCCTTCCTCAGGTTTCTGTATGACCCCTACAGATCATACCATGAATAATAATAATAATAATAATAATAATAATAATAATAATAATAATAATAATAATAATAATAATAATCGATTATACACAGGCACTTACTTTTTGATTATGTAAACATAAAAAACTTTTATTTAGTTTTAAAACGAAATTTAACATTGACTTTTTTGTTATTCTACATAGGTTAAATCTACATAATGTATTATTTATGTACTATGTATGTGCCCATAACATCTGTGTGCCCATAACACCTGTGCTCATAACACCTGTGCTCATAACATGTGTGCTCATAACACCTGTGTGCTCATAACATGTGTGCCCATAACACCTGCATGCTCATAATACCTATTTACACTTCTTCATGACCATCGTGGAAATTTAAACTGATGTTTGCATTACATTACCCATCAGATTATTACCAAGCACTGTGCTAAAGTATCTGAATGATAATATAATTCTTTAGGTACCAGCCAGATTTCAGTGGGATATTATTCAACGATCATCTCCTTAATTAACCTGTTTAATCATATAAGAACCATAACATATTATATAAAAATTACAAGCTATCGACGTGGGTTCTGTAAACTGGTTTAAGTTTTATCTGAACACGAAGCAAACTGTCAAGGTTGTTACCTAATCAGAGCCCCTGCTGATAACATGAAGAGTTCCACAAGGGAGTATCTTGGGACCCCTGCTATGTTCTGTTTTATGTAACTGGCATGTCCATTAGTATTCAGTGCAAACTCCTATTGTACGAAGACGATAATGTTTTCTTAATGTCAAATAACACCTACAGGATTTAGCTAAAAGTACTAGTTTTGATATGAATAATAAGTAAACCGTCACTACATTTAGGAAAAACAGAAGCCCAACTATTTGACTCAAAAGGTAAACTATAAAACTATAACTCATTTTAAGAACCTGTGTAACAATGAAGCCATCTCAAGAGCGCTTTCAGTGAAATATCTAGGACTATCCTTTGATAATAACTCAACGGGTCATGTATATGATTAAGATCCGTGTCAGCAGATACTTGTCCTGTTTCCTTACGAATAAGGCAGTTTGATCCATGCATATAAGGTGACTCCATAGTTTACCTGGAGTTTACCTGGAGAGAGTTCCGGGGGTCAACGCCCCCGCGGCCCGGTCTGTGACCAGGCTTCCTGGTGGATCAGAGCCTGATCAACCAGGCTGTTGCTGCTGACTGCACGCAAACCAACGTACGAGCCACAGCCCGGCTGGTCAGGAACAGAGTACCCCACTCAGGTTCTCAAAAACCTGCGTCATGCAGACTATTCTTGTTCCTAGTGGTAATCTGCGCAAGAGTGAGAAAACAAAATGAAAAGCTACAAATTACCCAAAATAAGATATTTGGATTCATCCTGGACATGAGTCCAAGAGGACATGTAGGAGAGAATGAATAACAACAACTGCAAATGTTTAAACTGGTATATAGAGTACAGAAGCTGATACTTAACCTTGTAAACAAAGCTGCTAGTACCCAGTGTCTACAATATCTTGTAGATATTTTACAGTTTGGGAACCAAAGCCAGTATGGTACTGAAGGAAGGTAGCCCGGTGGCCTGGTGGCTAAAGCTCCCGTTTCACGCACGGAGGGAGGGCCCAGGTTCGATTCCCGGCGGGTGGAAGCATTCCGACACGTTTCCTTACACCTGTTGTCCTGTTCACCTAGCAGCAAATAGGTACCTGGGTGTTAGTCGACTGGTGTGGGTCGCATCCTGGGGAACATGATTGAGGCCCCCAATGGAAATAAGTTAGACAGTCCTCAATGACGCACTGACTTTCTTGGGTTACCTGGGTAGCTAACCCTCCGGGGTTAAAAATCCGAACGAAATTTTATCTTAACGCAATTTTTCAGTACCCACAGACAGTGGATAGGCCTCAAACACCTATTAGTATACAGAGATGAAAGACTGGCTTGGGTTACCTGATCATGTCAAGGTTAATTGAAGAACTACAGCCACAGAATATCTAGTGACTGAGGTTGCAGGGAGAATAATGATTTCTTGCATTGTTAAAAGATTCATAATTTGTTTCTGATGTAAAACTGTATATTATTTTTTGTGTTGATTTATTTTGTTAGCATCCCTAAAGGCAGAGGATGTGACGGCTTGTATATATGTCTATGTATATATGTCTATGTATATATGTCTATGCTGCTCTGTATGATGATCTATGTAACTGTATTTGTGTATAACTGAATAAACTTACTAAAGCTATATATCACAGTGTGAAAGTTTAAAGTATACGAGACGAAAATAAAAACTTACATTGTAAAATCTAGATATAGGCTTAGTAAGTTCATTTAGGTACAGGCACACTAAGTGCAATTATCATTCATAGTAACATAAATCACCTAGGATAACCCCCCCTCCCCCCCCCCAAACAAAAAAAAAAGTCGAAGTGACTTATTTCCATTGGGGTCCTTGAAATTAACAGTAATGATACTGGTCAGACAAAGCTTCCAACTTTCATATTTATCGATTGCTAAAACATGACAACTTTCATATACACTAAATTATATAATTAAAAGCACGTGTACAAATAGCAAGGGATTGTATTATATAAAGGAGGAGAACACTTTCGAACGAACATTGTGATGCGTCGTCTGCTGCGCCGTGAAGCTGCGCACATCTCTACCCTTGACACTAGTCTTCTTAACACGGACACTTACTTTTTTAATATTGGAGAAATAAAATAGGTAAATATAAATAACTTGGCGTGAAAAGTACGCATAAAGCGCTTTAAAAGAGTGCAATGAAATACGTATTGAGGCGCGTTGGAGGATAGTTAGTGGTGTAATGAAGAGGGTTCTATGTTGTGTTGTGAGGCAGAGCTGAAGCTTCGACTACCAACATTGACTCAGTGAATGAACAGACCTTAGCGAGGGGATATGTGCCGTGTGTTTTCCTGATACTCCCTCCCACCGCCAGTGCTCCGTTTTTACGATATTAGAATTTTTACAATTTGTTTGGACTGTCAAAATGGTGCAGAGCTACCAGTCCCCCGTGAGGGTTTACAAATACCCCTTCGAGCTGGTTATGGAGGTAAGTAGATTGCTTGCTAAGTCTTTCCCAGCGAAGACTTGGTTTCCGAGAGTGGCTTCACCTCTACCTGCCTCATGTCATTACTCTCATATATCCACAACTCATAACCGTATTTGTAACACTTCAAAAGGGCTATACCCTATGGGTTTAGCACTTCCCTGATTAGAATTAAATAATTGCAGACCGAATAGCATCCTGATCTCAGCCCAAGGGAAGGTCGGCTGGTTTTTCTAATATGGTACTGTTATGTCTGTGATTGAGGAGAATTAGATATAATGACTGCGTGTAACGTAGGCGACAACGGTATTTAATAACGCGGAAATATTTCTTGATATACAAAAGTCAGCGGCTATATCCGGTTATCTTGTAGTCCATCCGGTTATCCTGAATTATGTCCGGTTATCCTGATGACTTAGTTTCTAAACTAAGTCCAGCAGCCATATAGAGACCAAGTCCAGCAGCCATATAGAGACCAAGTCCAGCAGCCATATAGAAACCAAGTCCGGCAGCCATATAGAAACCAAGCCCAGCAGCCATATAGAAACCAAGCTCAGCAGCCACATAGAGACCAAGTCCAGCAGCCATATAGAAACTAAGTCCGGCAGCCATATAGAGACCAAGTCCAGCAGCCATATAGAAACCAAGTCCGGCAGCCATATAGAAACCAAGCCCAGCAGCCATATAGAAACCAAGCTCAGCAGCCATATAGAGACCAAGTCCAGCAGCCATATAGAAACCAAGCCCAGCAGCCATATAGAAACCAAGTCCGGCAGCCATATAGAAATCAAGCCCAGCAGCCATATAGAAACCAAGTCCAGCAGCCATATAGAAACCAAGCCCAGCGGCCATATAGAAATTAAATCCGGCAGCCATATAGAAGCCAAGTCCAGCAGCCATATAGAGACCAAGTCCGGCAGCCATATAGAGACCAAGTCCAGCAGCCATATAGAAACCAAGTCCAGCAGCCATATAGAAACCAAGTCCGGCAGCCATATAGAAACCAAGTCCGGCAGCCATATAGAAACCAAGTCCGGCAGCCATGTAGAAACCAAGTCCAGCAGCCATGTAGAAACCAAGCGCAGCAGCCATGTAGAAACCAAGCGCAGCAGCCATATAGAAACCAAGCGCAGCAGCCATATAGAAACCAAGCCCAGCAGCCATATAGAAACCAAGCCCAGCAGCCATATAGAAACCAAGCGTAGCAGCCATGTAGAAACCAAGCCCAGCAGCCATATAGAAACCAAGCGCAGCAGCCATATAGAAACCAAGCCCAGCAGCCATACAGAAACCAAGTGCAGCAGCCATGTAGAAACCAAGCCCAGCAGCCATATAGAAACCAAGCCCAGCAGCCATATAGAAACCATGTCCAGCATCCGTGTATTAAAGACCAAGTGCAATATCCATATATTAGAAACCAGGCCCAGCATCATTGTATTAGAAATTAAATCCAGCATACGTACTTTAGAAAACATGTCCCGCATACCTTCTTTTATAGCCTCTTCAAGCATTTACAGCCTATGTGAATCTTTTACAGCTTTATAGATGCTCGCAGCCTTTCCTACAACCTATTTTTGCCAGTTTATTGTTTACCCTGGTGAGATGTCCGTCTGGAGGAAGACAAAGATGAAGAGTTGCCAAGTAAGCATTTATTGAGGCATTTCATGCGGGACGTTCATGACTAAATAAAGCTCTACACAGCAAAACGTTGTCCAAGTAAAAGCTGCTTTTATACTTGTTAACAATATCCTAGGTAATTTACATTATGCATGATAATTGTAGCTATGTGTACTTGTGCCTAAATAAACCTACTTATTAATTCCTGTTAGCTCTTGCACATTTGCATCTCCAGGTGTAATCAGAACTGGGTATCCCAGAGGGGTAACCAAGTGGTTATCCGAATTGTTTCCTCTTCCTTCAAAGTTTTCCTTTATAACTTGAGAAGCTTCCTCTCAGCAAATTGCACTCATACTGAGGGAGAGACTGCCTCATCCTATCGACTTTAATTTTAAACTCGGGCAATTTTAAATAGATTATTTCAGAATTTGGTTTCTGTAGGATAACTTGAAAAAGCCTCTTCTGATCGCCTTTAAACTATCAAAACTGGATTTTTGCTTGAAATAACTTGAGTATAAGCCTCTTCTTAACAGGTTCAATCTTTAATGGCTGGTGCATCTTATGAAAAGGATGATATCTTTTAGTTTTAGGCTGTGTAGGTGCCGAGTTGCCATTTCGGTAACAGAAAAATTTGGAATTGTTTCTCCACCAAGTGCCAGATAGCCAGGCTGTGATGGATATGTGGACCAGCAGACTGCCAGTAGCAACAGCCTGGTTGACCAGGCAAGAACCAGACAAGCTTGACCTAGGGCCGGGCACCGGCAGCAGAAAAAAAAACTCGAAGCAAATTTGTATATCACAGATGTTGGATTTTATGTGATAACTGGAGAATATATCTTTTTGTCATTAAACTTTTGGCTCTGGTTTGTCTTCAAAAGAACCTTCATATTGATTTTGGGTTGTACGAATTTTAATTTGCTAATTTTATGCAAATTGGCTTCGGTTCATTAACTGGGGAATGCCTGGTATGATTGCTTCAACCCTTAAACACTGGTCTATCTTAGAGAAAGTTATGAATTGATTTTGGGTTGTGTAGGTTCCAAATTGCTAACTATTGAAGAAATTTTGAAAAATTAAATGCTAGTTTTCTTGCTCTTAACTTGTTAATGCTTCATCCAGTCGGCTTCAAACCTTCAGCACCGATAACTTGATAATAGGGTTTCTGAACTGGTGTAATTTTATAGTGGTCTTTGCGTTAACTACACATGCCTCCTCTGACTGGCGTTAAACTTTCAAAGCTGGTTTTTCTTTGAAGATTCTAATTGGTTTTGGGCTGTGTAGGTGCCGTTTTTATTGGAGATACTGGGATATTAGCTTCCGTGCAATAATTTGTGAAGAATTCTCATTGACTTCAAATCTTCAGCATTGATATTTAATTGTATTTGAGACTTAATGACGCACACTTGGAAGGTCCTGGAGGGATTGGTACCAAACCTGCACACAGAAAATCACTCCCTATGAAAGCAAAAGACTTAGCGGGAGATGCAACATTCCCCCGATGAAAAGCAGGGGCGCCACGAGTACACTGAGAGACAACACAATAAGTGTCCGGAGCCCAAGACTGTTCAGTTGCCTCCCAGCATACATAGGGGATTACCAATAGACCCCTGGCTGTCTTCAAGAAGGCACTGGACAGGCACCTAAAGTCAGTACCTGACCAACCGGGCTGTGGTTCATACGTCAGCTTGCGTGCGGCCAGCAGTAACAGCCTGCTTGATCAGACCCTGATCCACCATGAGGCCTGGTCTCAGACCGGGCCGCGGGGGCGTTGACCCCCAGAAACCCTCTTCAGGTAAACTATACTATTCCTTTCTCTGATAGCGCAGCGACCGAAACTCGTCTAATTGAAAACTGTTGTGTTAGACCTGCGGTGGGAAGTTGGTTATCAACTATAATCAACTGTGCTAGACTCAGGTTTCACGCGGGAATACCTACTGGACATTGTAATATTTGTGGTGCGTTGTTGGAGTGACCTGTGAGGTACTGTTTCACTCCCTTCAAGGTGGGTGCCCTGGATTTGAATGAAACCTGTTTCATTCAGCCTCATTGCTGTTGTAGTGAGGTTTAGGTTGCATTGCTGTTGCAACGAAGGTCTTCCCTAGTCAGTTTTGTTGCTCTTGCATGAATGATTTTTATACTAAAAAAAAATTACATATGTAAATAAATGTCAATGAATGAAGACTGAAGATTTGACCGCAAGAATAGACTCTAGCATCCGCAAGATTTTAATAGGTTTAAAGCGCTTTGGTCTGTCAGCAAGGGAGGTAAATTATAATGTCAGCTCAAGAGAGGTAAATCAGTTTACATTATTATTATACTTTGGCACGTAAACGAGAGGTAGTTCATGATGTCTGCATTTGTATTACTTGCTTTGGCACACACGTTTACATTATAAATGTTAGATGAAACTACTGTGCATAAGAAACATAGAAGCGGAGTTGACAGAAACTAATGGAAAATTATTAACATAAGCATACAGTACATAAAGTCATGTTAACAAAGTAAAAGTACATATGACACAAATTTGTATTATCACAAGTACAAATGAAATTATTATTAACGTGACTACTGAAAAAGTTTTGTTTAACATAGGTACAGAGAAAGTTATTTTTAACATCCTGGTTATGAGAGACTTCATCTTGGTGCCAGCAGATGTTGCCAATATAGCACATATTTTGGAGAAAAATCTTGGAGATAAGTGTTTGACAAGTTGCTTCAGCAGGTGGCAGTCTGCAACTAGAATAGTTTGTGGATACGGACAAATTGGGGGGAAAAAAAAGTTAGTGCAGTATGAAAACTTTAAAAATGGCAACATTTCGCTTGGCTTACAAGCTTTTACAGACCACTAGAGTTTATATACCAGAGAAAAACTCAAGAAAGTGAGGTGCAGATGACTGGCCCATTTGTCATATTCCACGATGTCTGCTAAGGTGATGTTCTAAAAGTTAACGTTACTTGGAAGTTTCCTGGATTTTTGGAAAATGGTGTTGGAAGAGCTGATTAGAAAGGATGCAAGGCATTTTCTTCCTTGATGCTTAAATGGTGTAGAATATGTTCTGTCGGGCCATGTTTTGAGGTGCGACATACAGAATGCAGTAATTATGCAGGCGGCTTCCTTTGCTGTATCGTGACCCGCTTCCTAACACTGGTTCCAACAATTTTTTTAACAACTCCCACAGTGTACAGCTACCCTCTTTTATGTGGTGTTAACGAAAGCTACCATAATTGTTTGTTTACTACTGAGAGTGGTGGGATCTTAGGCTTTCCTATGTAATCTTGTTTTTTTTTTCAGGTGGGTAGTTGGGTTTTCGTTTGTGAAGTAACCTGTAGTTCGGTTCGCAAATAAAAGGACCGGCGTTCGATTTCCAAGTTGGGCGAGATGTATG